GAATGAACCTGAGCCACATGGACTTGATTGGGGGGAAAAAAGGACATTCCAAAGAGAAGCTGAGGCAGCTGCACTAGACTACTGGATCTGGAAACCATTATTCTTTATGTACCATGCCTGACACAATGCCCCCCTTTTCCATTTGACCTTAGGCACTACCATGCTGCAGTGTAGCAAAACTTTCAGGCTTTGTCTTTGAAGAATGAACCTGAGCCACATGGACTTGATTGGGGGGAAAAAAGGACATTCCAAAGAGAAGCTGAGGCAGCTGCACTAGACTACTGGATCTGGAAACCATTATTCTTTATGTACCATGCCTGACACAATGCCCCCCTTTTCCATTTGACCTTAGGCACTACCATGCTGCAGTGTAGCAAAACTTTCAGGCTTTGTCTTTGAAGCACAAACCTGTTTTCCCCTTTCCCTTTTAAGGGTGTGCTAACCAGTTTGTGCATTTAATGTATATAAATTGCTGAGAAGTTAAATTTACTGGGCGGCAAGGATTCCAGTCTCCAGCTCAACCCTCTTGGCCGGGCCTGAGCAATCTTGATGCAAGAGAATGCCCAATTTTGATTTAAAGCTTCCGAGTGATGGAGACTCCACCATATGCAGTGACTTTTTGTAAAGCTTGTGCTCTTGCTATGGCTACTCTGGGTCCTTTGGTCCCTCCTGCATTTGCAATCACATTTTAGAGACATGTAAACTTACAAGGTAATGCTCTGTAGAGGGATATGACCTGGCAGAGGAGGCTCTGAACTGGAAACCAGGAGAGTTTTGTTCCTAGCCTTGGCACTTGCCTGTTCTGTAACTATTCCCTTTCATCCCCGCCTCCCTCCCTTTTGTGTAAAGGGCTTCTGAGCACTAGCAAGCTATATAAAAGTTAAGTAGTAACATCCTACATGAGCTTAAGTCCCAGATCCGGATGCCTTTGGTCTCCCTGATGCACGGCTATTTTAAGCAGGATCTATTCATAGATGCCTTTTCCTTAGAGTCACTTCAAAAACAGCCTAGAGATTTTGCAACTTCAATTCTCCTACTTTGTTTACTGGTGAACTTTGCTTTCTCTGTGGCATGTTTCCATTGACAAACAGCCATTCGTTCACCTTCCCTGTCTCTGTCAGTCTGTTTGATTGTCAGTCTCCTTCCATTTTAGCCTCGGTTTAACTTCAGGCCTTGGGCACCCAGCATGGCTGCGTCTTGTTCCTTATTCTTGTGCAGGGGAAGTTGTCATCTGTACTGCGGATCGCAGTGACTTGTCGTATTCCCCTTCTGTGTGGTGTGGGCTCCAGCTCTCCCCCCCTCCCCCCCCGACTCAAATGTGCTAAATGCAGACACTCTTGTTGACAGACTGCCAATTGCAACCCGGGAGTAGAAGCTGGGGTGTGGAAGGTCTATAGGGAACCCCCTGAAGCTATGTGAATGCAAGAAATGGAGCTGGC